TTGTCAAGAAAAGAGGAAGCAGGGGGCAAGGCGGGCAGCTTCCCTGCGTGGGAGCAGCGCTTTTTAAAGGCATGTGCTTTCTGTTTGTTTTGATTTTTGGAACTAGATAGTTGTATTATCTATACAAAATCTCAAAAATTAAAAAAAAATTACTACTGTTAAGATTGAATCCCACAGGAAGAGCCTTTCGCTCATTTCTGCAATTTTTTGCCTTGGGTACCTGAGCAGAGAGGAAGTTCACACCGGCAGAAGGAAACACAAAAGGAAGTTGGGCCCAAGGCAAGTGACTCTTGCCTGTAATGCTAACTACTCAGATGTGGAAGACAGAGGTTTGACACCAGCCTGAGCAGGAAAGCCTCTGAGGTTCCATCTCCAACTACCCAGCAAAAGGCTAGGCTGGAGGGGTGGAAGAGCACTCATATAAAACAAAAAAAAAAGGGCAGTTGGGTCACACTTCCCTGGCCAGCACTTTCCTCTTTGTACTTCTTGCCAGCATGGAAGGGAGAAAAGAATGTGGCTGTTTTTTTATTTTTTAACTTTTTTTTTTGGCCAGTACTGGGGCTTGAACTCAGGGCTTGGGCACTGTCCTTTATCTTTTAGGCTCAATCATGGTGAGCTACCACTTGAGCCACAGATCCATTTCTGAGTTTTTGTGGTTCATTGGAGATAAGAGTCTCATGGAGCCAGGCACTGGTGGCTTATGCCTGTAATCCTACCTACTCAGGAGGCTGAGATCTGAGGATCGCGATTCCTGCCAGCTGGGCAGGAAAGTCCATGAAACTCTCATCTCCAATAAACCACCAGAAAACCAGAAATGGTGCTGTGGCTCAAGTGGTAGAGCACCGGCCTTGAGCTGAAGAGCTGAGGGACAGGGCCCAGGCCCAGAGTTCAAGCCCATGACTGACCCCCCAAAAAAAACAACCCCTCCAAAACAAACAAAAGAGACTCATGGACTTTCCTGCCAAGGCTGGCTTCAAACCTCCATCCTCAGATTCTCAATTCTCAGACTTCAGTCTCCTGAGTAGCTGGGATGCCCAGCTAAGTATGGCTCCATGAGGCTGGGTGCTGAGCTCTTTGAGTTTAGAAAGCACTGCTGTGCTGTGCACTGTCATACCTGTTTCTTACCTGTTATATAAGGAATTTTCAGTTTACAAGGTTCATTCTTATCCTTGATTCTTCATTAATGTGAAAATTAAGCTTATGGGTATAATAACAGCCTGGTGTAGTCTCTGTGTGTGTGTGTGTGTGTGCGTGTGCGCACGCACGTGTGACTATATACTGTTCAAAGTCTACGCCATCTTTAAGCAGACTGGTTTGGAAGTAGAGGGCTTGGAAATTCATGCCTCCTGTTTCTCCTAAGTCATCCAACTGTGCATTTGGTCAAATGCCAGCAATAAGCAGTCCACGTGGATTCCCAATGGAATCAAGCTCACCAACCATCCATCCATCCATCCATCCAAGTCTTGCGGTACAGCTAGTCCACTTGCTGTCTCCTACTCAGTCAACATCTAGAACCATCCCCAAGATCCATTCTTTCATCCAATCAGCAGTCTGCCACAATTAACCCAGTCATCCTTTCAACCAATCACTCTAGCTCCTCCCAATCGAAAGGGAGCAGAAGTAGACTGTATATAAATTCCAAGCAGAATGCTGTACCTGCCAAGGAACCCAGATCCAGAATCAGAGCCCTTTAACTTAAAGGAGAATGTTATGCAACAGCCCAGAGAGGGAAGTTTTGTGGAATGGTAATATCAGTGACATTTAGAGGCCTCCTGAGGACATCCAAGCTCCCAGTAATGGGATAGGGAGGTTAAATCTCAGTATGAGACTCTTCCTTCTTTTATTCCCAGGGTCAGGGTTGTGTATATGTGAGCCAGAGACCCTGAACACTGCTGTATGGTTGTGACACATCCCAGGAAACTTGAGTTTAGGCCACCAATGGGAAGCAGACATCACTGTGCAAGAAGTGCTTAGAGGGAGGTCTTGGCTCCAGGGCCAGACAGGAAGAACTAGAAGGCTAAGACCAGAGTCTCAGGGCCAAATGCCATGTCAGGAGGACTTAGGCATGTCCCAATGCCCAACTAGAGTTGGGAGGTGGGGACAAGAACACACAAGCCAACTAGTCCACAACCACTGAGAAAAGAGGCACTTCCTTCAGTTAAGGAGAACTGGGGGAACTATGGTAGTCTAAAAAATCTCTAGAGAGTTCTCTCTGCCTTTTGTTCACGGGGGACTACTGGATCCAAGAAATAGAAGGAGTCACGGAATTGAGCCAAGTCTATGAAATGAACTGGCTCGGGAATGGGTTGGAATGTGAGGGGAATGTGCTGCTCACCACCAGCATCCTTTGGAGGCGGGCCAGGCCTGACCTCATCCTAACGATGTCTGGGGACTGTATGTGAGGGAGGGAGGCAGAGGGGTGCACAGTACAAACAGCAGAATTGTTCACTTTCTTCTGTAGGGCTCAATGCACTGAACTCCCTGGAAAGGCAATGGGTGGAAATTCTGAAAGGAGCACCCATGGTCTATCCCAAGCCCTCCTACAATCCTGTCATTGCACAGAAGGGAAACTGAGGCCAGTGGTGGGAAGGGGTTGCACAAGGTCACATGGGAACCAGGTACAGTTGTGGCAGCTCTCTCTCCTCTCTGGGCTTGATGCTCTTAAGGATCCAGGCAGTCATGGTGATGAATGTGGGAAATTGTCAAATTTAGGTCATAGCAGGGAGGAGACCTGAGAGAACTGGAGAGTGAGTGATGTTCAGTGCCGCTTCTAAAGGACCCAGTTTAACCGGGGCCATAGGGACAGTGTGTTTCCCCTGTGCCCAGTGTCCATTTGGCTCACACTCTAAGGGAAGGAGAAAAAGGAAGGTGACTTGTGCCAGGGCCAGGGTCTGCCTTGGGGAACAGGAAGGGTCATTCTCCCTTCTAAGACAGCACCTGGACTGTCCCCAGATTCACACACACTGCAGGTGTGATACACACAAAGCAGCACACACGAGGATACAACCTCCCTTTCACACACAACTGAGCAGTCCCCCTCCCCTCCCAGGCTCCAATCAGGGAGGAGGGAAAGCACCCTAGAGCCACGGCAGCCACAGCAAGGAAGAAAGAAGCAAGACAGATTTGAGGCAGAGTGTATTGAGAACAGGAGAGAAAACCAACTTAGGGAAAGCTCAGCCTGGCTATAGACGCTGCAGGACAGAGGGAGGGGCTCTTCCACTGCAGGGGGCCACACCAGGATGAAAGGTGGTGGGGCAAGGCCTCATCCTGCTCATGCTGGGGCTTGGTGTGAACAAGCTGAGCTCGCTCACTGCTCCCCACGCAATCCCCTCTTCCGTGTGGAATGAGCTCACTGACAAGGCACCCCTGTTCCCATGGAGACAGGCCGGGAGAGCTCACGAAAACTGCAGGCTCAGCCCAGCATGGGCACCGCCTCCACCACCCTTCGCCCCTCTGAGAGCCCAGAAATAGGGCTGGGAAAGAGGAAGTGGGTGGTCCTCACCCCCAGTCCTGGGAAGCTTCCATCTGAATCCTGTCTCTTGGTCTGTGTTCTCTCCCTCCCCCCCCCACTCCCCACAGGGCCCAGTTTGAGGGAGGGAGGGCTCATCATCACTGGGGCTAAGGGTGGATTTGAGACTACCTGAATGGAGAAACTGAGGCCCAAAGATACCCAGTCAAGTCTGTGAGAATCCAGGTCGAAGTCTCAGACTTTTCCTCAAAATTCTAGGGTCCCCTGAGCAGCTGAGTCCTGCTCCAATCCTGTCTGCACTTGCACCACTGTCCCTACGCAATCCCCCCTGGCCCCACCCGGGGTTCTGGCCCTGGGACTACTGCAGATGATCACATGCTCATACCTCACCGGGCTGTCCTCACAGACACATACATAGCTCTGGTCTGCCTCTTGTCAACAGCACATCCCTTTCCCTTCCTTCCCAGGGGCCAGGCTCATCACTTGCAAGGCTTTCTCTCCCAATGTACCAGCCCATCTTCTCAATCTTCAGCAAGAAGAACCTTTGTATAAATGAGAAGACAGGAGACCAGAGAGGGACTGTGACTTGTCCAAAGCCACACAACAAATGGAAGATACACATGGGACCAGAACCTTCTTCTCCTTCCTCTTTCCCTGGAGCCTGATCCACTGCACTCAGGAGGCTCTTTGTAGTCAAGAAGATTTTGGCTGCAGTGGAAGCCAAAGCTACTCATTAATTAGGGGTCCCTTTCCTAGCAGTATGCCACATCTACACAGCCTTCTATAGGGCCCTCCTCTCTCAGGGATCCCCTGGACTCCCCTCCACCCCAAAACAGTGAGGTCAAGCCAAGTGGAGGCAGCACTGTGGCTTGGTTCAGGAGTCTCCTAAGAAGAGCCACATCCTGGATAGGGAGTTGAGGCAGTTTGGTAGAGGAGCAGGAAGGAGACATCAGACGATGGTGGTGGGCCAAGTCCGCATCAGAAGGACCAGGAGAGAAGAGAGGGAGCAAGGCAAGCTGTCTGGAGAGAAAACGGTCTCTGAAGGACACAGGAGGAGGAGACAGGAGCTGGCAGTGAGAACCCAGCAGCAGGAGGAAGCTGTTAGGAGCACAGGCCCGTGAGGGAGAGACTGTTGGCTGGCAGATTCTACAGGCACTGGCAGGCGCTGTCTGCTCCAGAGTCCCCACCAGGACCCCTCAAGGCCTTCCCCCAGCAAGACGCTGGCATCAGATTGGCACCATCCCTGCAGCTGTGTCAAGGCCTTAGGAGGGAGTTCTCTCTCCCAAGACCCTCCTCCCCACCTACACATGAAGTCCAAGCCCCTTGTTGTGGAGAAGAGGCTGCAACAGGTCAGAGAGGGGAGGCTACTCGCCCAAGGTCCCACAGCTAAGCTGATGGCAGCAACAGGCCTTGCACCATGGACTCCCCATTCTCTTCACTCGGCCCTATGCCTATTTTCTGTCACATCTGCTTTCTGGGTGGCCCTTGGAGAAGGGCCCTGGACAGGTAGAGGGATTCCCTGAAGGAGCCGTTACTTGAAGCAGAAGGAAGGCTTCCACACCTGAGCTTCGATCCCCGCGTTCCGGGTGGAGAAGGAGGGCCGGGGGGCCTGCTTGGCTCGAGGAGACCACGCCCTGGAGGGAGACACGGGGGAGACGTCACTGCCGTAGGTGGGGCTCACGGCCGAGAGCTGGAGGCCATCCTGGCCCGGGGAGGCGTAGAGGCCCGGCGCGCAGCGCGAGGGCCGGGCCAGGGCGGGCGAAGGCGGGAGGCCCGCTCGGGGCAGGCTGGGCACCAGGTCCAGGGAACTGGGCTTGGCAGGGGAGGCGGCGCGAGACGAGGCTGCTCGGGTGGAGGCCGAGCGGGGCGAGACCAAGGTCTTGGCGGGCTCCTTGACAGGGGAGAGGGCGAAGAGCGAGGGCCGCGCGTGGCAGGGCTGCCTGGCGGGCTCAGGGCGCAGCACGCCGTTCTCGGGCAGGTAGCCGTGGTAGAGGGAGGCCGGCGGGGTGCGCGCGGGGCTCAGGGACGCCACGCGGAAGCCCCCGGGCGCGCTGCTGGCGTACTTCCAGGAGGAGGGCAGGGACATGGTGGGCGACGGGCAGCGGGCCAGCTCCGCTGGGCCCGAAGACTCGATGACGTACTTCTCCATGCGCGACTGGCGGCGCGCGTACAGCTCGGCGCCCCTCCCCGAGGCCTCGGGCAGGCTCTGGGTGGGTTTGGGCTTCGGCTTGGCCTGGATGCGGGGTGACTTCAGGCAGGAGGCCCACTCGGGGACCGCGTCCTCAGCGGCGGGGCTGGCCCTGTCCCGCGCGGCCTCCTGCTGGAAGTTGGAGGCCTCGGCCCCCAGGGCAAAGGGCTCCTCCTCGGTGCCCGCCTCGCCCTGGTCCCTCTGCCTCCGCTTCTCATCCGCCGTCTGCACCAGGTCCAGCAGGTCGGGGTTCGGGGTCACCTTGGGCTTCTCCACAAAGGTAAACATGGACTTCCGGCTGCCCCTGCGCGCCATCGACTCCTCCAAGATGCCCGTCTTGCTGGAGGGCACTGCCTGGCCCTTTGGACGAGAGGGCCTGGGGTCAGAACTGGGGTACAGGGCAGAGTAAGAAGGGGGAGACCTAACCCGGGAAGTCAGGGGGGCAGCCGACAAGGTCTCGGCGTAGGTGGGAGGTGGGGCGAAGCTCCCCAGGGGCCCCCGCTCCAGGACCGGGCTCCGCTGCCCCACCAGCCTCCGCTCCACCATGGGGCTGTGGGACATGGCGTGTCTCTGCGGCCGGGGACTCCGGTCTGCCGCGCTGGAGGCCTGGGGGGCCGGGGTCTTCTCCCCAAGGCGTCGCCTCTCTACCATGGGGCTCCGCTCCATGTGGCCGCTGCCCCCCGAGGCCTGGATGCCAAAAGGCCTGGCCGTCCTGTTGACCACGGGCTGGGGCCTGGCGAGGGTGAGGTGGACCTCGCTGGACACCTTGGTGGGGGTGGTGGCCGCCGGCCGCCCCGACAGCTCCGGCTCTGCTGACGGATGGACATCGACGAGCAGCGAGCTGGACATGAAGTCCGGGACGGCGGGCCCGGAGCTGGGGATGGCGGAGGCTCCTCGGGAACAGGTGTTGGCGGCCGCGGGCGGAGTGGACACCTTATCGACAAGGAGCACGCTGGCCCTCACCTCCGCCGGGGCCTGGGGCTGCCCCTCCGAGCGGAGGGCGCTGGGGCTGGCGTCGGGCGCTGTGCCATTCTGAGGGCGCTGGGCCTCGAGAGAGCTCTGCGGCCGGCCCTGCGGGGCGGCCTCGGCCGGGGGGTTCTGATTGGCGTCCTCGGCAGCTGCGCAATTGGAGGCCGGGGTGGTGAGCGGGGCGTCGGGTGTGGGAAGATTCTGGTTGAGATCCACAGCTCCATCCGGAGGATCGTGTGCGTCGTGGGCAGGCGGAGGGCTGGGCGGCGCCGGCTGGGCCTCGCGGCTCTGGGACAGGTGGAGCCCGTTGGCTGTCAGCAGGGCTGCATTTTCCTTTAAGTAAACCACCAGCGGCACCTCTTCCTCCTCACTGGCTACCTTCTCCAGATGCCGCAGTAGACTGTCCTCCTCGGCGGCGGTGTACCCCTCCATGCTGCGGCCCGGACGCCCTCGGGGGAGGCTCTGGGGGCCGGGGCCTTGCTCCTGGGGGGAGGTGGGACTCAGGTCCAGCCCCTGGGCATTGCCCGTGGGGCTGGCACAGTGCACCCCGAGGGGCTCCTGGCCGGGCTTCCGGCGGCCCTGGCCTCGGCTTTCCAAGGTGAACTCGTTCGCCCTTTGCCTGCGCCTGTGGAAGAGCTGGACCCCGCGGGAGCTGGCGCTGGGCGGGGTGGTCAGCTGGGCCGCGATCCGCTGGCTCCGAACTTTGGCTTCTTTCAGATCCTGCTCGGTGACGTTAGTGCTCCGGCTCAACGCTGCGGGAAGGGACACAGAGGCCAGGTTAGCACACGGGGATGGGGCAGGGACAGTCACTGTGACACCTAGTAGATGCAGATATGGAACATCGCCGAGCCCCTCATCTTAAAACTTCAGGCCCCCACTACATCTCTCACTCAGCTCCCTTCAGCCTTCTCTTCTCTTGCTAGGCTCTGCCACACTAGCTCTCTCGCTATTCTTTGAAAATGCCAAGTATGGCCCTGCCCCAGGACCTTTGTACTATTCCCTCAGCATGAAAAAACATCTTTTCCCAGATGGCATTCCAGGTTGGTTTCCTCTTGCTGCGCACCTTCAATCTTACCTCTCTAAAGGTAAGATGTAATGATACATCTTCTGATGTATCATGGATTATTGATCTGTTCACCTGGCTTGGCATGTGTATCTATGTTGTGCGGTAAATTAAGCCTTAAATTATATATATATATATATATCCAGACATGAGAAAATAGTGGCTGGCCTATAGTGGACATGATGAAGATTGCTGAATGTGTAAATGAACCCCCAGAACATTTTCTCTGAGCCTTTCTTAGGGTCCTTTGTACTTCTAAACTCACAGAATAGTGATTTAATTTGATTTTTTTTATAGAGAGCTCTCAACACCCTTCTTCTTAGAATGGGCAATATATCCACTTTTATTTATAAACATAGATATAAACATAAGAAAAGGTGTTAAGTGAAAAATGTCCCTCCCATCCTGACGTCTGAAGTTGCAGCACCGAAGTTCTTGCCATTTTCAGGGAAATAATCTTGTTAAAATTCACACGTTTCCACACTTGAAAGTACTAGGTTGGGCTAATTTCAGCACTGACTACACTGGAACACTGTGTCCTTTCCCTGAATGCTCCTATGAGCAGCAGTGAGCGTCACAAGTCTCTGTTTGGCAGAAGGGACAACTTTTGCTGACAAGCCCAGACACTATGTGTCCCAAGGTCACACAGAGAAGGACTAGAATCAATTCTCAGTCCCAGCTCAAGGCCCTTTTGGGAAGCAGGAGTGGGAAACAGTTTGGGGGTGCCCTGAGTTCAATCTGGACCTTGAAGTCAGGTTCCCTGAGGGCAGCCATTGCTCCTTCCAGGCAGTGTGCCTAGCTAGTACACCGTCAGTGCTCAAGTTGTGCTTGTTGAACAATGACTGAAAAAAGGGCTGCATTAAGGAGTGAATTGATTGGTGGCTGGAGGAATCAGCCTGTGGCAGGAGTCACAAGCTTAGTCAGTGGCTGAGAAAAATCCCCCCCCCAACTCTAGGAAGCTAATTAGTTCTTGCTCCCCCTCCCCCCCAGCAACTAGTTCTTGCCCTGCTGCTGTCTTCCTCCTATCTTGCCGTTATGAGCAAGGGCTGGGACGTGCTGGGACAGCCTCCCAGGTTCCAACAGCCAGGCTCAGCACTCCTGGACTCTCAGAGCTGGAAGGGTCCATACAAGAGGAAACATCACTGCCACCCACTTTACAGATGGGGAAACTGAGGACCAGAGAGTGAACTCTGCAGGGAAGCCCACAGAGGGCAGGCCGCAATAACATTGGGTCCAGGCCACAAAATGACAGGCTTTCTGGCTCCAACTTCTTCCCTCCCTCCCTCTTTCCCTTTCTCTCTCCCTCCCTCCCCAGGGCCTGGTTTGCCTCCCAGGCTGGAAACAGTGACAGCATATAACTGTCACCCCACGACACCTGGTAGCACTCCTCTCCTTACCAGGGCACTTCATGTAAAAGAGAGAGACAGAGACAGAGAGACAGAGGTGGGGGGTAGGGTTGGCCAGGCTGCTCCCTTGAGGGAGAATGAGTAGAGGTTGCCAGGTACACAGGAGGTCCTGAGGGGCTCTCAGTCCCCACAGTGCTCTTTTCTACTCTGCTTCAAATGAGGTCTCCTGTCTTGAATCCAAGCTGTGTGACCCTGGCACACTTCCCCACCTCCCAGAGCCATCAGGTCCCAAGATGAGAAGTGGGGGAACCCTTGGTGCCCAGGACACTGCCTGCCAGGGGCTCATTGGCTTCAAGCCCAGAAGACAAAGCAGGGGGCTCAGGTGGCCCTAGGAAGAGCTGGTGGTCGGTGACCCCACTCTCCTCTCTGGAAGGGATCAAAGCTAGCAAAGAGTTGCAGCATAGGTCCTGGTCCAGGAAGCCACCCAGCAGGGAATCCCAAAGTTATGGGGAAGCATGGCTAGAGCACAGAAACCCAGAATCTTAGAGGTAGCCATCACTGGGCCCAATTTTCCCCTCCCTTCTTCCATCCTATGAAACCACAGCCCCTGTGCAAGCCTCGGTTTGCACACTCACAAAACATGATCTCACTACTTCCCACTAACATTCATTCCTTGCTACAAGGTCCTCTGACCATTCATTACCTTCCACTTTCCTCTGTGTGTGTGTGTGTGTGCCAGAATTGGGACTTGAACTCAGGGCCTTGATTTCTCACTTGAACTGAAGAAGCTGGTGCTCTACAACTTGAGCCATACCTCCACCTTCAACTTCCACTTCTCTTTGTGTGTGTGTGTGGCGGGGGGTCCGGTCGTGGGGCCTGAACTCTAGGCCTGGGCACAGTCCCTCAGCTCTTCAGCTCAAGGCTAGCACTCTACCACGTGAGCCACAGCGCCACTTCTGGCTTTTTTTCCCCCTGCTTATGTGGTGCTGAGGAATCGAACCCAGGGCCTCATGCATGCAAGGCAAGCACTCTACCTCTGAGCCACCTTCCCAGCCCAAGCTTCCACTTCTTGATGTGATTCTACTCTGGGTGTCACACAGAACGAGTCTCCCCTTCTAGTCTTACAACTCTGCCAAGATTCCCAGATAGAAATCACATCCAGGAGAATAACCAAGTCCCAACAATGTTTCAGATGTGAGGGCACAATTGAGTCAATTATAGCTAACATCCAGTGGGTACTTGGTGCACACCTATACTTACACTTTACACCTATTGCTTAATCCCACAACTCCATAAAGGCACAAAAGTGTTAGTGATGAGAAAATCAAGGACCAGAGAGAGAAGGTGGGCTCCCAACACCACAGAGCTTCAAGGGAGTGAGGGAAGCAAGAATCATACCTGGCTCTCCAGCCCTGCAGAGGGCGCCAGGCTCCTGGCTGGCGGGTTCCCATAGCCTGAGGCTCATGGAAAAATCCTTATAGCGTTTGAATCTTCCAGAATTCTAAACTCTCTGTGTGTTGCCACTTTTCTCCTTGCATTCCTGCCTCAGTCTCATCCCCATGTTGACTGAAAGGCCATGGGTTCAGAAAACCCTCAAATGCCACTGTGAAGGGCCCTTACAGAAAAGCCAGCCTGGGGCTCAGAGAGGAAAGGTCAGGGGAGCGGCCAGGACCTAGGTCTGCTGACCGCCAGCCTGGCTCCACTCCAGCCAGGATGGCTCGGACAACGCTCCCGCCTCCCTGAACTTGGAGCGGCCCCCTCCCCAGTCCTGCCCTGGGAATATTAGGACAGAAGAGGGTAGGGGTGAGCTCTCCTCTCCCACTCCAGCCTGTGGTGACGCCACAGGAAAAGAATTTGGCAGGAGTTTTGGACCAGACCCAGGCAACAGTGCCGATGGGTTCTGCCACCCTGCGCAAACAAATCTGGGGGAAGGGAGGCTAAGGCCTGCCAGAGGCACCCCAGCATCCCGTCACAGGCCCCAGAGGACAGCCCCATTGAACATTCCCCAGATCCAGGTGCTGACATCTCAGACAAGGGCTGCTGCTGTGAAACGCTTCTTGGTGCCTAAGAGCCACAGGGACAGGCAGGTCTCAAGCCCTCCATGTGCTGGCTGTGGCCTGCACCTGTGCAGATCAGGACACCCCCCCCCCCACCAATGTCTAGCTAAACCTTTGCAGAGCCAGGGTGATGCCAGCCCTTTAGAGACTCACCCTGGATATTTGATCCGGAGCTCTGAAGACAGGCCTCCACCAGAAGAAGGAGGGGAGAGTAAACACAAGGAAAAACTCACTGCCTGGGGTAAGGATACTTGAGTGGTGCAGGGCAGAGGATGGGTGGGGAGAGTGTGGACAGCTGTGCCTATGGGAGGGCTGCAAAAGCTGCTGCCCTGCCTGGTGCTCACACACATAGCCTAGGTGCTGAGCTGCGCATGGCATGCTCAGAACCTTGCTTACCCTCCTTCCCTCCTCGCTCCCCTGAGAACACCATGAATTCTCTTGTTTCCTAGATGAAACCCAGGCTCAGACATACCTCTGTCTGTAAGGAGAAGGGCTGGGATTCAAAATTTCTAGACCAGGGATCCTGAGGGTAGGATATCAAGAGACTCCAGAGTTCCCAGATGATGGCTGTCCTTCCTCAGCCCATGACAGTTCCCTCAGCTGCCTCCAACAACTCATGCTTGCTCTCCTTTCCTCCTCTCAGATCAAGAGCTGATGAACTCATTCTTACTAAGGTTGAAATGACTAATAGGGCATGAAAGACCAGTGGAGTAAAAAGATGATGAAATTGGGGGTTAGGAGATCCCCTGTTCTCATTTTCCCTCCCCTAAGGCAAGGACAGCCCTCTTCCCCATGCCTACCACCCTTGTAGGCAACTGCCTCTTCTGCCCATGAAGAGGCGGGTCTGCATCAAGAGCCCCAAAGAAGGAGGTGGGTTTGGGGAATGGAGGCAGCAGAAGGTCGGGACAGGGTGAATGCAAGGAAATGCTTTTTCACAGGGCTGCCGTCAATGGGCAAGTCCTGGTGGAGTGGGGAGCTAGAGGCAGCCCGTTGTGGATGGCCAGAGTCCTGGCAATAGGATGGATCAACAGCCTGGGTAAACTGCCCCCCTGGTGGGCAGAAAGGAACCAAGGCCTGGCCTCTGCACAACCTCTGGCCTTGCTGGGGCTGGAAGATGGGAAACCTGAGTAATGGCCTGGCTACCTTGACAGCCCTGTTTGCATCACACACACACACACACACACACACACACACAGCCCCCCCCCCCAGCCCTGGGGAGTCCGGTGGGCACAGCCTGTCTGAGTGTCTGAGGCACACAGACTACAGTATCTTCTCTCTGCAGAACA